GAGACCCACTCTGTGTACCTTTTATATAACACACACCCCTCTTCTCCTTATCATATTACTATCCTCTGTTCCCAAATCTCATTTCTTTACCCCTCTGCTCCACCCCACAACCTGTACATCTCCCCCTCACTGCTATCATCTCCCTACTATTGCTCTCTTCACCTCCCCAAAATGTCTCTTCCATTCCTCCTTCTCATTTTCCTCTCCTCCATTCCCAAAATCCATTCACTATATCCCTCTGCCCCTCCCAAACATTTGTATATTGTGTTCTCACTGCTTCCCTCACCCCTCTATGGCACCCACCACCTCCTCCTATTACTCCGCTCTCCCACTGACCCCAACACCTCCACTAGGAGTTTTCTCACGCTCCTGCACATCCTGCTCCCATGCCACCTTTCTCACCCTTCTCCTCCTCCTAGCCGCGGGGGACATCTCCCCGAATCCTGGCCCTCCACCTCCCTCACCCGCTCAACACCCTCCCACCTCCACATCCTACTGCAACCCCCGCAACTTAGTATCTGTCCCCCCTGCTCCCTAAAATCTCCCCCCCATTTTCATGTGCACTCCTGAACGCCCGTTCGGTGTGTGCAACAAGCTTACCGCCATCCACGACCTCTTTGTTTCCCGCTCCCTCAACCTCCTAGCGATCACGGAAACCTGGATCCAGCCCACTGACTCTACCTCCCCTGCTGCACTCTCCTACGGAGGTCTCACCTGGACCCACTCACCCAGGCCTAACGGTCGTAAAGGTGGTGGGGTTGGTCTGCTCCTGTCACCGCAGAAGACACCTTCCGAGTCCTCCCAAACCCCCCCCTCCCTATCCTTCTCCTCCTTCGAGGCCCACTGCCTCCGACTATTCTCCCCAACCCCCCTGAAGATTGCTGTGATATACCGGCCTCCTGGATCCATACCCCGCTTCCTGGATGACTTCTCCTCCTGCCTACCCTTCTTCCTCTCCTCTGAGCTACCCACCCATAATTCTTGGGGATTTCAACATCCCTGTCAACCTTGACAACCCGGACACAGCCCGTCTCCTCCACCTAACCTCCTCCTTTGCACTTGCACAGTGCATACAATCCACCACCCACTCCGACGGAAATATCCTGGACCTTGTCTTCTCCAACCGCTGCGCTCCCCACAACCTCACTAACACCCCCTTCCCTCTCTCTGACCATAACCTGATCACCTTCTCTATCTCCTCGTCCTCCAACGCCTACCCCTCCAAATGTCACACTACTCCAGCCGTAACCTCCGCAACCTTAACCCTGCCTCCCTCTACTCTGCAGCTGATCAACTCCACGACCGCATCCTCCTCCCCTGTCTCCTGCCCCGACTTGGCTTTGACCGCCTACAACAATGCGCTCTCAACAGCCCTTGACTCACTAGCGCCTTTAACCACACGCAACATCAGACCCCGACCGCTCCAGCCATGGCAGACTGATCACACCAAAACCCTCAAACGACAAAGTCGTGCCCTGGAGCGACTATGGCGCAAAAAACCAAATCCCAACAAGCCTTCACCCGCTATAAATCTGCCTTCCGCACCTACACCTCTCCCTCCCTCCATGCTGCCAAACAGGCCTACTTCTTGACCCTCATCAAGGCCCTCTCTCCTCCAATCCTCGCCGACTCTTCTCTGCCTTCAACTCTCTACTCTCTCCACCCCCACCTCCACCCAGCACCTCACTCACTGCCCTTGAGATTGCCAATCACTTCAAAAACAAAATTGACACAATTCGCAAGGACATTGCCGCAACTCACACACCCTCTCAACCCGTCCCCTCTCACACAGCTACCCCCTTATCCCCCCTCCCCCTCGACATAACCCGCAGGGACTTTGTCGCTGCTCAAACTCTCTCCAACCCCCTTCCTTCACCCTCACTCAGCTACCCCCTCATCACCCCTCTCCCACGGCCCCCCACCACTGCTCTGACCTCCTCTTCCACCCCACCCTACATTCCTCATACTGAAGAAGCCCCCCAACACTCCACACCTTTGACCTTACTACCATCGAGGAAGTCTCCAAGATCCTCTCTGATGCCCGCCTCACCACCTGCCCCCTCGACCCTATCCCCTCACAACTCCTACGACCTCCCTCCCCCTCCATCCTACGCTCCCTCACCCACATCTTCAATCTCTCCCTCTCCTCAGGCACTTTCCCCTCCCCTCTGAAACATGCACACATCACCCCCCATACTTAAAAAGCCCTCCCTGGACCCCAATGACCCGAACAACCTCAGACCCATCTCCCTGCTCCTATTTACATCTAAACTCCTCGAGCGCCTAGTCTACACCCGCCTATGCTCTCACCTCAACGACAACAACCTCCTCGATCCCCTACAGTCCGGCTTCCGTCCCCTACACTCCACCGAAACTGCCTTACTCAAACTCTCCAACGACCTGCTAACCGCCAAAGCTAATGGCCACTATTCAGTGCTCCTACTCCTTGACCTCTCTGCGGCCTTCGACACAGTCGACCACCCCCTCCTCCTCAAAAAACTACACTCCCTCGGCCTCAGAGATTCTGCTCTCTCCTGGCTCTCATCCTACCTGTCACAACGCTCCTTCAGCGTTACCTATAATGCTACCACCTCCCCCTCACTCCCCCTCTCTGTTGGGGTCCCTCAAGGCTCTGTCCTTGGGCCCCTTCTCTTCTCCATCTATACCTCCTCCCTTGGCCAACTCATACACTCTCACACGGCTTCAACTACCACCTCTATGCCGACGACACACAAATCTATCTCTCAACCCCCCACCTCACCCCCTTGGTCTCAGCCCGAATCACACACCTACTGAGCAACATATCAGACTGGATGTCGCTCCACTTCCTTAAATTGAACCTCTCCAAAACCGAGTTTCTTGTCTTCCCCCCAGCCCGGACACCACCACCCCCCATTGATTTCTCCGTCACATCCAACAACGCTACCATCAACCATCAAACCCGCCCTGCAGGCCAGAGTACTGGGTGTCATTCTGGACTCCAACCTATCCTTCCAGCCCCAAGTCCAATCTTTAACAAACTCGTGCAGACTCCACCTCCGCAACATCGCCAAAATCCGCACGTTCCTAACCCCAGAAACCACTAAACAGCTCATCCACTCCCTCATCATATCACGACTCGACTACTGCAACTCCCTCCTCACTGGCCTGCCTCGCCGCTGGCTATCCCCGCTTCAGTCGATCCTGAATACGGCTGCCAGACTCATTCACCTTTCCAACTGCTCTGTCTCTCTGCCACCCCCTCTGCCAATCCCTCCACTGGCTTCCGATTGCGCAACGGATCAAATTCAAAATCCTAACGCTGACGTACAAAGCTGTCCACCATACTGCCCCGTACTACATCTCTGACCTAATATCCAAGTACCCCCGCCCAGCACGCACACTCCACTCCTCACAAGACCTCCTTCTCTCTAGTTCCCTGGTCTCCTCCTCCCATGCCCGCCTCCAGGACTTCTCCAGGGTGTCACCCATCCTCTGGAACTCCCTGCCCCAACCCATCATATTATCACCTACTCTCCTCTCCTTTAGGCGCACCCTGAAAACCCATCTCTTCAGGGAAGCCTACCCCACCCCCTGCTAACTTGCCGACCTCCTCCACTCTTCCTACCACTCCATCCCCCACAGCTATCTCCTCCTGTGCCACCACCCCCCCCTCCCTCCTAGATTGTAAGCTCGAAAGAGCAGGGCCCTTGATCCCCTCATGTTTTGCATTGTATTGGTATTGTTCTGTCACATGTTCTGTCTCCCTTTGTAATGTACAGCGCTGAGCGAACTATTGGCGCTTTATAAATACTGTATAATAATAATAATAGTCCCTTTTGAGGACATATATTTATACAAAACTTGTCAAGGAGGAGCCCCAATACCCTGAGACGTCACGCCGCCGGATCACGGAGGTCCGGCGGCCACCATAACTAGCTGACTGGTCAGTAACATTGGCAGCACAGGCTACTTATATTTGATTGTTTACAGAGCTATTCTACCTCGTTCACCTGATTTTTATTTGGATGATATGTGTGTACACTTTTTTACCTTTTAATCATTTCACAATAAACTACAAGAATACTACACTATGGGATCCCCTATTTTTTGCTCTATATGAGCACTTAAACCCTCAGGACCCAGGTCACATCCGACTCGGAGCATGGAATAAACTTCCTTAGACCAGACCATTTCATACCATCCATGAGAGGGACCTCTGATTAACATCGCTCTAAGCGCCCATACCATTAGAGGGGGAATATTCCAGACCAGACCAGATTCCTTTGAAGGGAGACCTCCAGGCTGGCTAATATTAACCAATGCGCATTACGATTGCGCTTCTGGTGAGTTTGCAATACCACTATTCTTTCACACACCACCGGATGATTATCATCTTCCACTTTATGGCTGATTTCTGATTTTCAGAATATATGTGCACAGCCTGCTGGATCTTCACTTTTGAATAGTACTTTCACGTCATAGAATTTATATATTGGGACTAATCCTATGTTCTTACATGTGCTATTTTACTGTTTTTCTTGAGTGATGAATATGTTTTTATGTTTTTATTTTGATTGAGAGACATATATGATCTAGATCACCTCAGTTATTCATTGGTTCATTTTATGCGCTGCACTCATTCGTGATACATTTAATTTCTATGAGAGGACCTGTAGTTCCTTTTGGTGCATTTAGCTGCTAGCTTTGTTAGCGCTCGCTTACTTTCTTTGTGTATTTGTTGATACTTTTTCCATGCTTTCATCAATCTTATGTTTCTAGTTGAGGATTGTGAGATAATTAGGCAGAATCCTTAGGCATGAGAGAGAAGGCAAAATAGGCTTTTGTAGCACATTTATTCTAGAATCTGAAAATGGGGTCATGCACTTCCCAGTAACTCATCAATACAGCTAAAGGCACATTTGCTCAGAGATACAAAAGGTTTTTCAAGTAGGCACTAGCTATTACAGCTTCATGGACTGAAGTTTTTGCAGTTCCTGCAGAGAAGACAGATATCATTATTACTTGCACAAAACCTTTTAAAAGTTACCTTACACATTCCTGTTGATCTTATTTCAGCTAGAGCGGAGCCTATCCGACTGTTGCTGGCCGATCAAGGGGCCTCCTGGACGGAGGACGAAGTTCAGTTGAATGATTGGTGGTCTGGAAAATGTGAACTGAAGAAGACTGCTGTGAGTAACACTTTTTAACCACTTGCCCTCCTGAGGATTTACCCCCCTTAATGACCAGGCCTCTTTTTTCCTACTCGACACTGCACTAATTCAACTGATAATTGCGCAGTCATGCAATGCTGCACCCAAACGAAATTTCACACAAATAGAGCTTTCTTTTGGTGGTATTTGATCACCTGTGCGCTTTTTATTTTTCACGCTATAAATAAAAAAAGACCAAACATTTTAAAGAAAAATATTTTTTACTTTCAGCTATAAAAAATGTATAGTAAACTCAAAGTTGGTTATAAATTTAGGCCAAAATGTATTCTGCTACATGTTTTTGGTAAAAAAAATCCCAATAAGTGTATATTGATTGCTTTGTGTGAAAGTTATAGCGTCTACAAACTATGGTATAGATACTGCAATTTACGCCATTTTTTTGCTATACAGCGCTGCTCTAGTTTAACGGACAATTGCGCGGTCGTGCAATACGGTACATAAATGAAATTTATGTCCTTTTTTTCACACAAATAGAGCTTTCTTTCGGTGGTATTTGATCGCCTGTGTGTTTTTTTTTTTTTGCGCTATTAAAATAAAAGGCTGACAATTTTGAGAAAAAAAAACTATATTTTGGACTTTTTGCTATAAAACATGTCCAGTAAAAAAAATGTAAATATCAAATTTCATCATACATTTCGGCCAAAATGCATTCTGCGATATGTCTTTGCTAAAAAAAACCCCAATACGTGTAAATTAATTGGTTTATGTGAAAGTTATAGCGTTTACAAATGGCGGGAAAGATACTCGGATTTTTAATTTTTGTTTATACTAATAATGGTGGTGATCAGCGACTTATAGTGGCGATCAGTGACTTATGGCGGCGATCAGTGACTTATGGCAGCGACTGCGGGACTACGGGGACATTCTGACACTGGGGGGGAACTGACTTGGGGTCACTGACATCCCCAGTGACACCAATACAGTGATCAGTGCAAAAAAAAAAAACACTGACACTGTACTAATGGCACTGGGGAGGAAGGGGTTAGCTTTTTATTCACTGAAAGGGTTAACTGTGTGAGGGGAGTGTTTTACTAGGGGACGGGGGTGTGTACTGCAAGGGGACACGCTGATCAGGAGAGATAAACTCTTCTCTCCCGATCAGCGTGTCAGGAGCTGTCAGGGAACTGACAGAAAGCAGAGCTACTGCAGCCCTGCTCTCTGTCAGTGATTGCCGCTAATCGGCGGGACACAGCCGGTAATGACTGGCCGTAACCCGGCGACTGACACCCGTGGATCGGCAGTGCAGGTAGGGCGGCGCCTTGTGCGAGCCCCCTACCTGTTTTGCAAAAGCACGTTTTAAAAGTCCAGTCCCTCATCCTGAAAATACTATTTAGTAAGCCAATGGAAAAGTATGTAGATAAGGAGATTTTGTGCCTTTAGCCACTTACCCTCCAGAGGATTTACCCCCCCCCCCTTCCATTTTTTGCAATATGGCACTGCATTACTTTGACAATCGGCGCTGTGCATAAATTAAATTTATGTCCTTTTTCCCCACAAATAGCTATTTCTTTCAGTGGTATTTGATCACCTCTGCGGTTTTTATTTTTCACGCTATAAATAAAAAAAGACCAAACATTTTGAAGAAAAATATTTTTTACTTTCAGCTATAAAAAATGTATAGTAAACTCAAAGTTGGTTATAAATTTAGGCCAAAATGTATTCTGCTACATGTTTTTGGTAAAAAAATCCCAATAAGTGTATATTGATTGCTTTGTGTGAAAGTTATAGCGTCTACAAACTATGGTATAGATACTGCAATTTACGCCATTTTTTTGCTATACAGCGCTGCTCTAGTTTAACGGACAATTGCGCAGTCGTGCAATACGGTACATAAATGAAATTTATGTCCTTTTTTTCACACAAATAGAGCTTTCTTTTGGTGGTATTTGATCACCTGTGCGCTTTTTATTTTTCACGCTATAAATAAAAAAAGACCAAACATTTTGAAGATGCATAAATTAAATTTATGTCCTTTTTCCCCACAAATAGCTATTTCTTTCAGTGGTTTTTGATCACCTTTTTTATTTTTTGTGCTATAAACAAAAAAAGACCGACAATTTTGAAGAAAAAATATATTTTTTACTTTTTGCTATAAAACTTACCCAGTAAAAAATTTTAAAAATCAAAATCAAAATTCTTCATAAATTTAGGCCAAAATGTATTGTGCTACATGTCTTTGCTAAAAAAAAAAAATACCAATACGTGTAAATTAATTGGTTTACGTGAAAGTTATAGTATCACCCCCCTCCTCATTCGCTCTGTCACCCACATCTTCAATCTCTCCCTCTCTACTGGCGCATTCCCCTCCTCCCTAAAGCACGCGCACATCACCCCCATACTCAAAAAACCCTCCCTGGACCCCACTGACCTGAACAACATTAGACCCATCTCCCTGCTGCCACTCACTTCAAAGCTCATTGAGTGCTTAGCCTACAATCACCTAAGCACCCACCTCACTGACAATAATCTCCTTGATCCACTACAGTCTGGCTTCCGTCCCCTACACTCCACCGAAACCGCCCTACTTAAAATCACTTACGACCTGCTAACCGCCAAAGCTAGTGGCCACTCTCTCCTGGTTCTCCTCTTACCTATCCCAATGCTCCTTCAGCATTACCTATAACGCTGCCACCTCCCCCTCTCTCCCCCTCTCTGTTGGGGTCCCCCAAGGCTCTGTCCTTGGACCCCTTCTCTTCTCCATCTACACCTCCTCCCTTGGCAAACTGATACACTCCCATGGCTTCAACTATCACCTCTATGCCGATGACACACAAATTTACCTCTCCACCCCTCGCCTCACCCCCTCACTCCCGCCCGCATCACCCACCTCCTAAACGACATATCAGACTGGATGTCGCTCCATTTCCTCAAGTTAAACCTTTCCAAAACCGAGCTCCTAGTTTTCCCCCCAGCCTGCGCCCCCCCCCCATCCTCTCCATCAGGACTAACAAGCGCCACCATCAATCCTACCCCACACACCAAAGTCCTAGGTGTCACCCTGGACTCAAACCTTTCCTTCCAACCTCATGTTCAATCACTATCAAATTCATGCAGGCTCCACCTCCGCAACATCTCCAAGATATGTATGTTCCTCACCCAAGACACCACTAAACAACTCGTACACTCCCTTATTATCTCACGCCTAGACTACTACTCCCTTCTCACCGGCCTACCCCAACACACGCTATCCCCGCTCCAGTCTATCCTGAACTCAGCGGCTAGACTCATCCACCTCACCAACCGCTCCACTTCTGCCACCCCCCTCTGCCAATCCCTTCACTGGCTCCCGATTGCCCAACGCATTAAATTCAAATTACTAACTCTGACATACAAAGCCATTCATAACGCTGCCCCAAACTACCTCACTGACCTGATACCCAAATACCACCCTACCCGTGCCCTTCGCTCCTCACAAGACCTCCTACTCTCTAGCTCCCTGGTCTCCTCCCCCCACGCTCGATTGCAGGACTTCTCCAGGACTTCCCACATCCTCTGGAACTCACTACCCCAATCCATCAGACTGTCACCTACCCACCTCACCTTCAAGCGCACCCTGAAAACCTATCTCACCCTACCCCACCCTCACCTAACAACCGTTCTCCTCCACTCCTCCTACCACTCCATCCCCCACATCCACTTCCTCCTGTACCTCTACCCCCTCCCTCCTAGATTGTAAGCTCGAAAGAGCAGGGCCCTCGTACCCCTCGTGTATTGTATTGTTACTGTATTGTCTCATGTACTGTCCCCCCACCTTAATGTACAGCACTGAGCAAACCTTTTGGCGCTATATAAACACTGTATATAATAATAATAAAAATGATAGTGTCTACAAATGGCAGTATATATACTGGAATTTATTTAATTTTTTTATGCTAGTAATGGCGGCTATCAGCGACTTATAGCGGCACTGCTGGCATTCTGACACTGGGGCGGAACTGACTAACTGCCACTGACATCCCAATGACACTAATACAGTAATCAGCGCTAATAAAAAGCACTGACACTGTACTAATTACACTGGGCAGGAAGGGGTTAACATATGGAGCAATCAAAGGGTTAACTGTGTGCTGTGTGTGTTTTACTTGCAGGACATACTGCTGTGTATTTCTCTGCTGTGCAGAGAAATATACAGCAGTATGTTACTGCTAGCAGGAGAGAGACCTGTTGTTTACACACGGGTCTCTCCCCTGTCAGTGATACTCGGTGATCGCTGGGTGCCAGTGGTAGGGAAGGTTAAAAGCATATTTCCATCCTGACAATTTTCCTAGGCTCATATACAGTCAGGTCCATAAATATTGGGACATCAACACAATTCTAACATTTTTGGCTCTATACACCACCACAATGGATTTGAAATGAAAAACTAACAAGATGTGCTTTAACTGCAGACTGTCATCTTTAATTTGAGGGTATTTACATCCAAATCAGGTGAACGGTGTAGGAATTACAACAGTTTGCATATGTGCCTCCCACTTGTTAAGCGACCAAAAGTAATGGGACAATTGGCTTCTCAGCTGTTCCATGGCCAGGTGTGTATTATTCCCTCATTATCCCAATTACAATGAGCAGATAAAAGGTCCAGAGTTCATTTCAAGTGTGCTATTTGCATTTAGAATCTGTTTCTGTCAACTCTCAAGATGAGATCCAAAGAGCTGTCACTATCAGTGAAGCAAGCCATCATTAGGCTGAAAAAAACAAAACAAACCCATCAGAGAGATAGCAAAAACATTAGGCGTGGCCAAAACAACTGCTTGGAACATTCTTAAAAAGAAGGAACGCACCGGTGAGCTCAGCAACATCAAAAGACCCGGAAGACCACAGAAAACATCTGTGGTGGATGACCGAAGAATTCTTTCCCTGGTGAAGAAAGCACCCTTCACAACAGTTGGCCAGATCAAGAACACTCTCCAGGCGGTAGGTGTTTGTGTGTCAAAGTCAACAATCAAGAGAAGACTTCA